TTTGGTAGTCATGACAATGATAACTATAAGATTAATTGGTCAAAATAACTCATAACAAGTTCTAAACTAATCGAATGATTTCAACCAAGCCGACCGATGAAAAATATAGAATTAAACCGAAAGCACCAATCAAATTAACTCTAACAAATATGGTAAGGAAAATAAGCTAAAAGGGCAATAAAAACTGAACAACTTTATAGAAATGCAGCCCTATTACATATGTATATAATTATGCTTTTAAAACAAATTTCAAACATCGAAGAATATGTAAAATATGTACTGCAAATATTAGTCCACATATGTAATCATTAGTATATCATTATGTATTCACTTCTTATTTAAAAAATTGACTAAAAATCTGGAAACAAAGTGATCCCTCGGAAGCATTAATCACAACAAAATTACAAGAGAATTGCAGACTCGGTTTGATTGAGTCTGTACATGAGGTATTATGAATAAGTGCAACATCCCTCACGCCCCCTAGCACCGACTTGAGCGGTACTCAATCCTCAACACTTAATAGTGCTGGCATCAATGATCCCGAAGGACCAGAACAATATAACAACACTGAATATAAGACTTTATAGAAAGTAACTGATAAACTATAGCACACACTTTTCACAGTAAATTTGGGATAATCGTTGACACGCGTGTTACAAACATATGAACACCTGTTCAAGTGCAGGGTAAGTGTTTTAATTGACGATCTTAGTTGAAATTTGAAAGTAATAAAAAATCATAACATTTCTTCTTCTTTTTTTCGAATATTTGTATTCGTTTTTCAATGTTCAAATATTCGGTCGTATTTCGAATATTCGTATATAATTCTCGGCCTTACTATATTTGTTTTATGATGCTGTTTTGGCTTTGAGAAGGTACACTTGTACTAAATTCAATTTAATTTTTTTATAACTGTATTTACTTGATTATCATATCCTACAATTTTAACAGTCTGTAGCGTTCATGAACTGAAAGAATACCCTCAGAAAGTATGGTTGTTTATAAAATGAAGCCGATAAATACAAAAATCTGGAAAAGGTGTGATCCCCGAAAGCATTGACAGAACAATTTGTAATGAAAATATCAAACGCAGTTGACGAGTCTATTCGTAAGAGATCTCTCACGTTCATGGCATCAGTTCAAGGAGTATTTAGTCTTCTTTACCATCCATGTGTTAGAAACATTGATCCAAACTCAGTCTGATTAAGACTAATAACGAGTATAAAAGATAATGTGAAAAAGTAACATCTCCCACGCTCCCGGCAAGTTATATTATCAATATTTATTCATGCAAAGATGTGAATAATGAACATATACATAGGGATATTATTGTAGCGAATTTTCAACACTTTTTAACTACATTTAAAAATGCTAACACTTCACTTTTAATTTTTCCTTTAATACAAAACTCCTTCCTTCTAAACTTTCCTCACAATTTTAGTAACTTCAACATCCATTTTTGCAATAACTTTTAACAACTCTTTTTAACAACAACTGTCTAGAACACAATAACATCAATATATAGTAGTCAGAAATTAGCGCCAAAAGAACTTGATAATTACAAGAAAAGCATGATAATCTTGAACATTTGTGAACGTGTGAATATTTCCCGCCAAAAGTAAATGAAGAGCAAGACGGAGTTCAAGTGACATATATAATATAAAAAGCAGAAATACTCAATAAAAACAGGTGAAATATGAGAACTTACAATAAAAGTTACATGAAATAAACATATAAGATTCGCGCCAAAAGTAAGAAGGAGATTTATTGAATTTAACAAGAGAAAATCGCTAGAAATAGCGACAATTATGATGTTTTTGAAAAAATAAAAATAAAATGATTAGATTCTTTATTTCAGTGTTGTTATATTTTCCTTGTCGTACGGGATCATTGATTCAAGCACTTTTAAGTGTTGGAAATTGAGTACCACTCAAGCCGGTGCCAAAGGGCGTGAGGATTGTTGCACATTTTTATTATCTTGCAAACTCAATCAAACAAAGTCTGCAATTGTCATGTAATTTTGTCGTGATTAATGCTTCCGAGGTATCACACTTTTTTCAGATTTTTAAACTTCACAACAGCAGGTGTCAAGTGCTGTGTGGCAGCTGTAAAATATTGCCCCGTACTTCACTTTAGTGTTGTTATTTTTTTCTGGTCCTCCGGGATCAATGATTCCAGCACTTATAAGTGTTAAAAAGCAAGTACCGTTCAAGCCAAGGGCGGGCGTGAGGGATGTTGCATATTTTCATCATCCCTCATTTACAGACTCAATCAAAGCGAGTATTCACTTTTCACGTGATTTTGATGTGATTAATTCTTCCGAGAATCACTTTTTTTCTACTGCAGCATCTTAATGACACTATCTTATAAACGAACGAAACACTGGACAATCCGGGATCTTATAATACATAATGTGATAGTGAATAGACATACGTCTTAAAGGTGTGATTATGTTTTAAACCTCGATTGTTAATTTTTTTCGGAGCACTTATCTGTAGAAATTATGTGAAGATTTGTATCTAATGTTTTATTAATACATTGAACTCCGGAAAGTAAACAGGCTGATTATACAAAATTAAATGTCTCTACAGTAACATCTCATTAGTTAATTTGAAATTAAACATTTTTTTACAAATAGATTTATCAATATAAATTACATTTTAATGAATATGTAACTTTTAAATACTAATGTTATGGTGTAGTTTATAATCTTAACCAATTATACATGCAATTTTAATACTCTCTCGTTTTTAATAAATGATATTTGATATGTTGAATATAATTAAACCCTTAGTATGGTACTATCCTGCTTTTCAACAAAATATTGGTATGATATGTTCATATATCCGAATTATGTAGAGACTGTCCACAGTGACTCCCTGTCTATAATGACCTTTTTTCTTTTCTTCCATCGAAGGTCACTGTAAACAGTCTTTACTGTATTTTTTATAAAGGAAGGAATAGAGTATTTATTAAAAGTTTTGCCCTTTTAATGCATTCTGGTATAGCCAGTTGTAACTTTCGTACCTGCTATATAACTTATTATCTTCATATAAAAAAGTAACTGATACTTTTTTGTAAAAGTAACTTACTGACTCCATCTGTCAATATCTTATGATATTCGGTAATATAGATAATATTGACAAAAAATAAAAACAATTTCAATATTAAAACTGCTGCACCATTGTCTTATACAAATAGTTTGTCTAAGGATAATGGCAGACTTCGGAGACATCTTAGAGTGAAACTGATAACGATCGCCGATTGACTTATCTGTAAGACCCCTGCAGGCGGCGTAATGTCAATTGTCGGAGATTGTTGTTCAAAGTAGCAAAGTTAGTCATGTTTTTTGTGCATACTTCTCTTTCGATAGCGATAGACTTTTTTCAAAATTTGCAATTCTTTCTTTTTTTTAAACAAAAGTCGCCTAGGAGGGAGAGGTTACCCTGGAATATTGAAAATTTGTATCACAAAACTACAAATGAAAAAGGTAACCACCCCCATTTTTGAACTCACGAGAACATAGCTCAAGCACCACTAGAATACGTTGTCATATGGGTGTGCTATCACGTGTTTCAATTTATTTTGCATTTTATACACTGTTTTCGGAATTTGTACATGCTTATGACAGGTGCTTAAAATGCGACCAAAAGTGAAGCCTTAATATAATATTTATAATATTTTCCATTTTCGTGGAGCCTATGAGTGACCTCTGCTATCTTGTACACAAGTTAACTTGTGCGCATTTATAATTATCAAAGATTCGCAAACAAGAAATGTTGTTGGACGTTAATAGCTTATTAAGCTTATTTAGCGCATAATTAAATAGCTGAACAAATATACAGCATATAATTAAAATACAACTGCGTCGTATCATTTTTTTTTCCAACTGTGTCGTATCATTTCGTACAAATCATCGTTTTCTAGGATCATAAACGTCTTTATAAATGAAATTAAAGTAAGCGTTGCAAAATTATATTTTAAGTTTATGGTAAAAACTGAAATGAGTATATAATTGATTTGAAGGCAAAAAACGATGGATAAAGCAATATGAACTGTGTCATATCCACAAAACTTTATAGAAATTCTGTCCCGCTACGAGTTGCAAGTTCGCGTTAATTAACTTTTGTTTTACAAAATAGTTCTGAAAGCAACATATATCGAACGCAGCGTAAAAATAGTGGAGCGTGTTCATACATATATCTGGTTTTCAGTCATTTCCAACAAAGAAAGTAATAAACAAAAACATACTTTTTTCGTTCCAAGATGGCGGCGTTTGTTTACATATTGTAAACACGGGTTTTCACACAAACAAATAGAAAATACACTTTCATTAATAATATGTCAATACTGACACGATTAGTATGCGACAAAAATACTTAAAAAATAAACATGTGTATCTTCATTTGAAAAAAAATACTTCTAATCTATAAAAAAAGAAAGTCAATTGAGTTTCGGCCATTTTGATGATGGGTATTAAGCAGCAGCAATTACATGTATGTAAACATTGATAACCCTGATTAAAACTATAATCCCGATAAAACTACCGCTAAACGAAAACAAAAATGGTTCACAAGACCGAGAACGTGGCCTCGCCGGAAAATTTGTATTTTACTCAAATATCCCTGTTGTAAAAATGGGTGATGCTGGCCATACATGGTTGTAGTTCAAGGTTCGAATCTCTGGTAGAAAACGTCAGTAGTTTTGCTCGCTCCTGGATAAAAGTAGTCCATATTCAAATTACATCTATAAAGTATGCGGTATTATAAATAAATTTCTTATATTTCTTTGTAACATGATTTACACGGCTTTTACCATTTAAAGCTTCATGACGACACAGTAACATGTGACCCTGGATTTTGAAGTAGCACTTACATGTTGCTTGCAAAAGCTGCTAGTGTAGCCGGTATACATGTAGATGATATAATACTTTGAAACATGCAAGCATGAACTAAATTCAAAACAAAACAGAACAACAAATATGAAAGGTTTTATAGATCTTTCATTGTAATATTCTTACAATTATTTATGTTTCTTTTCAGAAATACAACATGCGCATTAAGGAAGATTTCAAAACGTTAAAGTTTGTCTTCTGAAGGTTTCTATGACAAAATTTGTTTTCACTGCTCTTTCCGTTTTATTTAAAGTTTCATTTTATCATTTTCATAAAAAAAAAAGAAATAGGTATATTTGTTTAATAAACTGGGTTTTATATCGGCTCCCGTTCTAGTTTTGGTGTCCAGAGGACCAAATTGAGCTTTATAAGCTTAAAAGTCAGCGACTATTTTGTGCCGAAATCTAGTACATTTCCTAATTTCATGTGAAACTGCGCCTTTGTATCATCCAAACATCAATAGAAAATCAACAAAATTGTCTTTGAAAAGTCTTAGGATAAATTATATATATATTTAACAAAAAGGTTCTTATATTTAAATGTCGTTTTTGTCCTATTATATTTTCATTAATGTGCAGCGTTATATATTCGAATATTTGATGCTGTCTTTTAATGATAGAAAAGGAAATACTTTAAGCATTTCTTGAATTCCTTCCTTTACTTCAATTTTATGATGGAAACCTAATTTATGTATTTTCTCATACGACACCTCATAATCCCTTTTGTCATTATCGGTTTTATCACTTATTGTGCTAATAGTGCAGTCAGGTAATACCTCCTGTATAATGTGTACAACTTGTAACTTTGTCATGTTTAATTGGTCATCTCCAATATTAAATGCTTGACCCGACATTACTATTGCATTATCCAAAGCAAATATAATTGCACGTGCAGCATCTCGAACATGCAGGAATGTCCTTCTGAAATGACCTTCAAACAATTGAATATGATTTTCCTTTACAGCTGTAAATGTTAAATTGTTTATTAAAAGACCAAGTCTCATCCTAGGGGACAGTCCAAATAACGTTGCGAATCTTAGACATATTCCACCAACAGACCGAACTATTTCTTCTCCACGAACTTTACTTTTTCCATACAGCGAAAGAGGTTGTAGTGTTGTTTTCTCAGTACAGACACCTTCTACATACCCATAGCAAGATCCTGTACTTGCAAATATCATAATTTGTGTTTTCGACATGTTATCAACTACGTTTTGTGTTCCCAAAATGTTTGTTGACAAAGCAGCATCTGGGTCTGAATCACACGCAGGATAGCCAACTACTGCAGCGAGATGGATAATGGCGTCTTTACCTAAAACAACTTCAGCAATATGATCTCGATTTGTCACGTCACCCTGAATAATTCTTAGATTAGACATGTGAACAACATGCATTAATGAGTGTATTCCCCAGTTCAGTTTGTCATATACTGTAACCTCGTGTCCTTCGTGTAAAAGCATTGGCACTAAAACTGAGCCAATGTATCCAGCACCTCCTGTGACAAGTACTTTCATTACTTATCCTAATTGTCCTATTAACTGATTGAACGGTTTGAGTAAATGTTTTAATTTCTTTGTCTGCCTATATTTATTTATAAAAACTTATCTGTTTCAATATTTCGAACTTCCACTAAGGGATGGAATATATGAAACTCACGTAGTTTTAGCTAGACACGCCACTTGCAAGTATTCCTTGTTTTCTCAAGTAAAGCGACTAGCTTATACAAACATTCTTATATATCCATGCACTATAGTCATGTAATCAATATCAATGTTTTGCTACGGTTTAACAAAACCTTATCTTTGAGTAAGAAATCATTCAAAATGTGTTAAATTCATTTCAGGTACGTTTCATTATGCTTTTAAATAGCATGGACAATACTTAATCAATGTTAATAGAATAAAGGAATTCACTTATTTACTCAAATTGTTTGAATACAAGCAAATCATTTTTAGGAAGCTAATTCAATAATAAAATGATACAAATGTTGGAAATAAGCAATAAAATGCTTTTGAAAACAAAATACTTTAATTATAAAGTTCATATGTATTTAAAACATCATTGTTGTTGCAATAACTTACGGTTAACGTTTAAAACTTAAAATTATATAAGTCTGAGTTTAGTCAAATAATCTTGAAAATTGCATGTTTTCTAAGTAAAAAACTATCATATATCAATGAACGATAATTAAATTACTATTGGCTTCTAGGTTTGTTCGTGCTCTGCATTGCATCCTGTCCGGTTTTTGTTTTGGGTCCCCTGCGCTCCTTGCCGCTGTTTCTTGTTGCAGGATCAATATTATTGTGTGTTAATTATATGATTAAAAAGGATCAAAATGTCAATTTTATCAGCTTTAACAAAAAATAATAACATAATAAGTTTAAATACCAAAGCACTCCGTAACGACAGTTTGATAAACCCTATGTGAACATACCAATATGATAAACAAGATCAACAATGAAAGGCGGCGTTCAATGAAATTTTGGATGCAGGTTCGGTTTGATTGATGTGGTGGTTATCATGGCACTTTTAATGAGACTCGTTCTATCCATTCCAGAAAAATCGGCACGTGCTCCAGAGTATGTTTCGGACACAGAGTAGTAGTTTCTTGCTGATATCTTTTCAAGTTTCAGAGTTATGTCCAGGACATAACTTGTCGAACGACACATATGCCCCCTTTCCAGCCCTTGACTCACATAATTGATAATTTTGTTGTAAAAACTTGCCATAAATGGGTACATGGAAGTGTTCAGTTATGAAAAAAAGAAAAAGAATGAAAACTTTGTCATAAGTAAATTTCTAGATTATGAGCAGAATCTATTTTGACTTTTAAGGCACCTGTGACCCAAAATCAATAGGGGTCATCTAATAGTTATGACCAACCAATCTGTGAAATATGAAGACATTGTGATAAAAAGTGTTCAAGATAATAAGCGAAAACAATCTTGATATTATTGCCCCTATGACCTTGACCTTTAACTAGTGACCCTAAATTATAGGGGTCATCCTCTAATTATAATCAATCACTGTGTGAAATATGAAGACTTTGTGATAGATACTTTCAAGATAATGAGCGGAAACCATACTAACATTCAAGTACCCTTTGACCTTGACATTTGAGGTAGTGACCCCAAAATAAATAGGGTTCACCTAATAATTATAACTAATCAGTATGTGAAATATGAAGACTTTGTGATAAACAGTTTTCAAAATAATGAGTTGAAACCATTTTATTCTAACATTTATGGCCCCTGTGACCTTGACTTTTTCCTGTTGACGCCAAAAATAAATAGAGGTCATTTACTTGTTATGACCAATCAACATGGGAAATATGAAGACTTTGGGATAGGTAGTAACCAAGATGATGAGCGGAAATCATACAACCATTCAAGGCCCCTGTGACTTTGAACATTGACCTAGTGATCCCACAATCAATATGGATTATTTACTAGTTATGACCAATGAATATGTAAAAGATAAAAACCTTGTGGTAAATAGTAACCAAGATAATGAGGGTAAACCATTATGACAATTAAGGCCGTTGATCAAGTGACCCCAAAATAAATAGGAGTCATTTACAGTAAACTTCTGTCTTAGCAAACACGGTTATAAAGAACTTACGGTTATAAGGAACAATTTATTTGGCCCAAATTTCCCCTCCTTTATTTGATATAAAAATATATGGTTATAGCGAACACAGTTATAAGGAGTTATCGCTTAAAGGGAACTCATTTTTAAGTCCAAATTTAGTTAGAATTATAAAAAATTACACTTTTATAACGAACTTCAAAATATCGGCTATCCGTAATTACACACCTCCTCTTTTATTGTGACAGGTCTATATTTTTTGGAAAGACCTGTTTAAACAAAATAAAGTCCGTTATAAGGTCTATCTTTTGCACGTGCACAGGTCTGTTCTAGTCAGACAGACCCGGTCATGAAAACACGTGAAGAAATAGGCCTGCCAATGCCCAGACATAGAACACATGAAATGCAATCAAAAAATATAAATTGAAATAAAATGATTGTCATAATGTTCCTGTCTTACAAAATCGGGATACATTTTTTTAAACAAGATAATTTTTATTGAGTGCACTAAGCAATTATTTCCAGCATCCCTATTTTCAAATCGATTTTGAATTAAAAATAATGGATAGCATATCAAAGTTAGGACACATTTAATATTTAACTTAAATGCGTCATTTTTCAAAGTTATTAGTAATTCAAGTTTGGTTTTCTGTCACTAAGTTCACAATGTAACCAAAATGGACGCTTTCCAGTTCAATGAAACTAATATAACAGTTATACAGCAATACTTTATTACGATTTTAAGATGTTAATAAAGTTATGAGTGATTTAGAATAAATAATTTAATGATGAACGATCATTCAATTCTAGAACACTTTAGAATCTGCTATATATATATAGTTTCGGTTCATGTATCTTTCACTTGCCAACAATATACATATGTGGGTATTTCGTGGTCTGCTGGATATCCGGACATTTGCCCCTTAGACAGTTGCCCCCTTTTTGCAGTGGCGGTCACTTGCCCCCCTCATATCTTTGAAGGGGCGGACATTTCCTTCCCTGTTTCCTGTTTTAAAAATGTTGAAATATTGTATTGTTGAATTGTTTGCTATCAAAATTCATCGCCTATCGTCGAAATTACATTGTACTTAAATACTCTCGCGCAAATTTGTGAAAGTCAAAATAGCATCCATAAATAAATGAAATGTAATGTTTCCATTGGCATAAAAAAATCTATACACGAGATGACCTCTGACAAGTGACAAGTCACAACAGCAAAAAAAAAAAAAAGAAAAAAAAAGAGGCAAACGTCCGGGAGGGGGTGGGGCAACTGTCCGGGGGCAAATGTGTTGTTGAATCTGCATTGTCTGATCAACATAATTATTCATTCTTTTACAAACCTATTCACTTTATTATTGACAAATTGCACATTTGCCTTTTTTGATTATTATTCAAAAGGGAAAAGAACAGTTAAATGCAAAATATATATTGTTTTTAAGCAGAACGTTGATAAAAGCTTACCTGTAAATGCATTGTGTTAAAAATAATATGTGTGCATCGGATCAGCAATATAGTTTGACGGTGTGTAAGTTGGATATCGGCCTCGTACATCGATATTTTCTGTTTAGGAAAGACCTGGTCACGAATTTCATTGAAACACCTCGAGCGCTCTAGACTCTCGCTCTCTCGGCTGTTCACATGAAATTCGTGACCAGGTCTTTCCTTAACAGAAAGACCTCGTACTCGGTCGATATCCGGTGTATACATAGATCCCGCATTTTCAACTTTAATTTTCATTGACCGTTTATTAATACAGCTGTGAAAATGAATTTGTATAGTAGCACGTAATTTCTGTTTACGATTTTTTTACATGAGTTCTTGTCACCAAGATAAAACGGTTACAAAATGTATTCTTTTTATTCTATTATTTTTTTTCTTTAATAATTTTGCTCGAGTGAAAAGAGTGAAAAAATATGATCATTTATAATCGGTTTGCAACATAATCACGAATGCTTGCTTATCCATTGAAAAATACAAAGTACGCTTGATTGAAATGAAAAGAAGTCTATATCTTTCATCAGTAAAAGTCACCCTTAAAATAAAATAATAGATATTCAATTTAAAAGGAAGAAAAATCGAAAATGTGTCTGTTCTTAATCATGGAAAGAAAACGGAAAACACTGAGTTTAGGAAAAACAAACGATATTTTATGAGCAATTGAAAAGGGTGGTAAAACTAAAAATGAAATAGCAAAGGATTTTCAAATAAATGACTAATTTTTCTTAATCAAAGGTCTTTGAAAATGGAGGACGATGATAAACAATCAGTTCATTATGTGTAAATCTGTTCGCTATAAAAACGCCTTATACAAGGAACTAATTCGATATATGCTTACAATGAACACCGGATAAAAGGAACAAATTTTGTATGTCCCAATCAGTTCGTTATCAGCGGAGCTTACTGTACTAGTTATGTCCAATCAGTCTATGAAATATTACGACTTTGTGTTGAATAGTTTTTAAAAAAAATTACGGAAAAAATTTTAAATTTTAAAGGGCCCCCGAACTTGATTTTTATTGGGGACCCCCAAACGATAGTTTTCATTTACTAGTTTGTCAATCAGTATGTGATTATGAAGGGGTTTATGATAAAAAAGTTTTTAAGATTATCGCGAAACTATGTGGGGCTACCCACGGACAACCGAAGACCCAAATTTGCCAAAAAAATTTTACCCCCCCTTCTTCGGAAGGGGGGGGGCATAAAAAAAGGCAGTTACTCTCAAAATGCAAGGCAGAGTGACGTTTCTTATGTATTGCACTATGACTTAATGAGATCTATCAACATACACGGTTTATTGCAGATAACTATTGTAGTGTCAAAATTATAGCATTCTAGTATGAAAGATAATTGATGTAAGTATGTTTAAACACATTGAGCATAAAATATTTTGTTATATTTTTGACGTCAATAGGTTTACGTATTTGTTATCTTTGACGTGTAAATATTTCTCTTTGTTATGTCGTTAAATATCGAGTTATTATGCACGTAACTGTCCTATCTGTTTGACAAGCGTGTAAGAAATCACAATATAATAGCCAAAAGCTACTTTAGAATACTTCTGTTTGTGCAGCGTTAGCGTAACCGTTGAAAGTTTAACA